TAAATTATTTAAATTAATTAATTAAATTAATTAAATTAATTAAATTGTTGAAATTAATTAAATTAATTAAATATAATTAAATTAATTAAATTAATTAAATTAATTAAATCTATTAAATTGTTGAAATTAAAGAAATTAATTAAATTAATTAAAATATTTAAATTATTTAAATTAACTAAAATTAATTAAATTAATTTAATTAAATTAATTGAATTAATTAAATTAATTAAATTAATTAAATTAATTAAATTAATTAAATTAATGAAATTATTTAAATTAATTAGATTAATTAAATTAATTAAATTAATTAAATTATTTAAAGTAATTAAATTACTGAAATTAATTAAATTAATTAAATTACTTATTAAATTATTTAAATTAATTAAATTAAATTAATTAAATCAATTAGATTAATTCAATTAATTAAATTATTTAAATTAATTAAAATAATTCAATTAATTAAATTAATTAAAATAAATAAATTAATTAAATGAATTAAATTAATTAAATTAATTAAATTAATTAAATTATTTAAATTAATTAAAGTAATTAAATTATTTAAATTAATTAAAGTAATTAAATGATTTAAATTAATTAAATTAATTAAATTAATTAAACTAATTCAATGATTTAAATTAATTAAATTAATTAAATTAATTAAAATAATTAAATTAATTAAAGTAATTAAATTATTTAAATTAATTAAAGTAATTAAATTAATTAAATTAATTAAAGTAATTAAATTAATTAAATTATTTAAATTAATTAAATGAATTAAATTATTTAAATTAATTAATGAATGAAATTAATTAAATGAATTAAAAAATTAATTAAATTAAGTAAATGAATTAAAATTAAGTAAAATCATTAAATCTATTAAATTAATTAAATTAATTAAATCTATTAAATTAATTGAATAAAAAAAAAATTAAAATTAATTTAATTAAATTATTGAAATTAATTAAATTAATTAAATTAATGAAATTAATGAAATTAATTAAAGTAATTAAATTAATTAAATTAATTAAATTAAATTATTTTCAATTAAATTAATTGAATTAATTAAATTAATTAAATTAATTAAATTCTTTAAATTCTTTAAATTAATTAAATTAATTAAATTAATTAAATCTATTAAATTAATTATATTAATTTTATTAAATAAATTAATTAAATTAATTAAATTAATTAAATTAATTAAATTACTTAAATTAATTAAATTAATTAAATTACTTAAATTATTTAAATTTATTAAATCTATTAAATTAATTAAAGTAATGAAAAATTAATTAGATTAATTAAATTAATTAAATTAAATTAATTAAATTAACTAAATTAACTAAATTCATTAAATTCATTAAATTAATTGAATGAAATTAATTGAATTAATTAAATTAATTAAATTATTTAAATCTATAAAATTAATTAAATTAATTAAATTAATTAAATCTATTAAATTAATTAAATTAAAGAAAAAAATAAATTAATTAAATTATTTAAATTATTTAAATTAATTAAATTAAATTAATTAAATTAATTAAATTAATTGAATTAAATTAATTAAATTAAGTAAATTATTTAAATTCATTAAATTAATTAAATTAATTAAATTCTTTAAATTAATTAAATTAATTAAAGCAATTATTTAAATTAATTTAATTAAATCTATTAAATTATTTCAAGTAATGAAATTAATTAAATCTATTAAATTAATAAAATTCATTAAATTAATAAAATTATTTACATTAATGAAATTAATGAAATTAATTAAATTAATGAAATGAATTAAATTAATTAAATTAATCGTATTAATTAAATTAATTAAATAAAATTAATTAAATTATTTAAATTAAAAAAAAATTAAATTATTTAAATTAAGGAAAAATTAAATTAATTAAATTACTTAAAATAATAAAATTAATTGAATCTATAAAATTAATTAAATTAACTAAATCTATTAAATTAAATTAAAGAAAAAATTAAATTAATTAAATTAATTAAATTATTTGAATTATTTCAATTAATTTAATTAATTCAATTAATTAAATTGATTAAATTAACTAGATTAATTAAATTAATTAAATGAAGTAAATGAATTAAATTAATAAAATTAATAAAATTATTTCAATTAATAAAATTAATTAAATCCATTAAATCTATTAAATTAATTAAATTATTCAAATTAATTAAGTTACTTAAATTAATGAAATTAATAAATTAATTAAATTATTAAAATTAATTAAATTAATTGCATTAATTAAATTAATTAAATTAATTAAATGAATTAAATTAATTTAATGAAATTAATTAAATTAATTTAATTAATTAAATATAATTAAATTAATTAATTAAATTAATTAAATTAAGTTAATTAAATTAATTAATTAAATTAATTAATTAATTAAAATAATTAAATTAATTGAATCTATAAAATTAATTAAATTAACTAAATCTATTAAATTAAATTAAAGCAAAAATTAAATTAATTAAATTAATTAAATTCTTTAAATTCTTTAAATTAATTAAATTAATTAAATTAATTAAATCTATTAAATTAATTATATTAATTTTATTAAATAAATTAATTAAATTAATTAAATTAATTAAATTAATTAAATTACTTAAATTAATTAAATTAATTAAATCTATTAAATTAATTAAATTCTTTAAATTAATTAAATTAAATGAATTAAATTAATTAATTAAAGGAATTAAATGAATTTATGAATTTAATTAATTAAATTAATTAAATCTATTAAATTAATTAAATATAATTAAATTAAATAATTAAATTTATTAAATCTATTAAATTAATTAAAGTAATTAAAAATTAATTAGATTAATTAAAATTATTTAAATTAATTAAATGAATTAAATTAATTAAATTAATGAAATTAATTAAATTCAATTATTATTAATTAAATTAATTGAATTAATTAAATTAATTAAATTAATTAAATTAATTAAATTAATTAAATCTATTAAATTAATGAAATTATTTAAATTAATTAGATTAATTAAATTAATGAAATTCACTAAATTAACTAAACTTCATTAAATTAATTGAATTAAATGAATTAAATTAATTAAATTAATTAAATTAACTAAATTAACTAAATTCATTAAATTAATTGAATGAAATTAATTGAATTAGTTAAATTAATTAAATTAATTAAATTATTTAAATCTATAAAATTAATTAAATTAATTAAATCTATTAAATTAATTAAATTAAAGAAAAAAATAAATTAATTAAATTATTTAAATTATTTAAATTAATTAAATTAAATTAATTAAATTAATTAAATTAATTGAATTAAAATTAATTAAATTAAGTAAATTATTTAAATTCTTTAAATTAATTAAATTAATTAAAGCAATTATTTAAATTAATTTAATTAAATCTATTAAATTATTTCAAGTAATTAAATTAATTAAATCTATTAAATTAATAAAATTCATTAAATTAAGGAAATTAATGAAATTAATGAAATTAATTAAATTAATGAAATTAATGAAATTAATTAAGTTAATCGTATTAATTAAATTAATTAAATTAATTAAATTATTTAAATTAATTAATGAATGAAATTAATTAAATGAATTAAATTAATTAAATTAAGTAAATGAATTAAATTAAATTATTATTCATTAAATTAATTGAATTAATTCAATTAATTAAATTATTTAAATTAATTAAATTAATTAAATATAATTAAATTAATTAATTAAATTTATTAAATCTGTTAAATTAATTAAAGTAATTAAAAATTAATTAGATTAATTAAAATAATTAAATTAATTAAATGAATTAAATTAATTAAATTAATTAAATTAATTAAATTATTTCAATTAATAAAATTAATTGAATTAACTAAATTATTTAAATTAGTTAAAGTAATTAAATTAATTAAATTATTTGAAGTAATTAAATTAATTAAATTATTTGAAGTAATTAAATTAATTAAATTATTTAAATTAATTAAATTATTTAAATTAATTAAATTAATTAAATCTATTAAATTAATTAAATTATTTAAATTAATTAAATTACTTAAATTAATTAAATAAAATTAATTAAATTATTTAAATTCATTAAATTAACTAAATTAATTAAATTAATTAAATGAAGTAAATGAATTAAATTAATAAAATTAATAAAATTATTTCAATTAATAAAATTAATTAAATCCATTAAATCTATTAAATTAATCAAATTATTCAAATTAATTAAGTTACTTAAATTAATGAAATTAATAAATTAATTAAATTATTAAAATTAATTAAATTAATTGCATTAATTAAATTAATTAAATTAATTTAATTAATTAAATTAATTAAATTAATTAAATTAATTAAGTGCATTAAATTAATTAAAGTAATTATTTAAATTAATTAAAGTAATTAAATTAATTAAATTAATTAATTAAATTAATTAAATTAATTAATTTAAAAATTAAACAATTTAATTAATTTAATTTATCTAAAAAATGTAATTAATTTAATTAATTTAATTAAATCAAAAGACAGAAAATCGGATGAGAGCAAAGCAACAAAATAGTACCTGAAGGTCCCTCGATCATATATATATATACTCTATATATGTATATACCCAAAAAAATAAAAAAGTGAAATCCTGATAAATCATGGCTCTATCTTTTTGGGGCTTAATTACTATATATGTTACTATGTATACGTCTATATACACATACATAGCACGACTAGGCTGAAGGGGTCCAACAGCTGGTAGGTATATGTAAGTATAGACATGAATGCCAGAAGTACTATGTTTCACTCCTAAGAGAAGTGGATTGTGACAGTCAAAGGCATCATTTTCCCATGAAAATGACCATTCTTGGGGTCCCCATCAACAAAATCTCGGATAAAATGCCTCATTACCTCATTATGATTAGTCATATCCGCATAAAGATAGCTTGGTTTAAGCCGTTTAAGCCCATTGCTGCTTCAAACTCATGGTCATCATGGGCTCTTCACCCCGCCTTGGAGCTGCGCTGCTGAAAATCGGCTCCGTGCGCCACCAACAAGCGCAGCAGATGGTAGTCCCCCAGCATGGCAGCCACGTGAATCGGGTAGAACCGCTCTGCCTGCGGAAGTTGCTGTGAATGGAGTGTCAAAGCAAACAAAACTGGAAGTCGAAAGCTGAAAAAGTGGAGAACCATGAGCCATAAAATTGGCAAACGCAAAGGGGGAACGGGGGAACCAATGGACGCAAAAGGCTTGAATGTGTTCTTTGTCTTTTCTAGCGTTTGAGCATCCATTTCTTGGATTTCAATATTTAAATATCCAATTTTGGGGGCGAATAATTTTGAACCAGATCTAGTGAAACATCTGGAGAAGACCAAATGTTCTCATGTTTCTTCGCATGCCTATTCGGTCGCTTGAAAAAGAACCAAGGCAGAGTACGCAGTGGTTGGGCCGCCCCTCTGAAAGATCTGAGTCATCGGGGGTCACTGCTGCAGGCTGCAGGTAGGGATGAAAGAAACATGGTGAAAATCACCAACCAGTTTTCGGTAGCAGTTCCATTGGTTGTGCAACCCAGTAATCATTATTGTTACTATTATCATTGATATAATTATATATATATGCTATCTTTATTATCCACCCATCTTTGTTGGTAAAGATCCCTCCATCAATGGAGGCTTCATGTGTATATATACATATATATATATATGTATGATTCATGGATGCATCCCAGTATATCCCCATAATATCCGAGCGTATCCCCGTAAAATGGTTTGTTATATACCACCATCAATAGTTGTGTAAAAACATCGTCAAACCCCCTCAAGACTTCCATGCGCAATCCCACCAATAATCCTACGGTGGATGGGCCAGCGAAATCCGGAAAATCAGTTGGTAGATGGTAAACATCCCATTATTTACAGGGTTTCAACCATCCTTTTGGTGGTGCAGGAAGGCGCAACCATCCCAAGATATCACCATATAAAAACCATAGATATCTCATTTATATCTCATAGATATCCCATTTGTCCCATATAAAAACCATCCACAGTATGTTTGACAGCATAATGTTGGGTCAATCCCTTATCCCGTATCCCCATAGAATGCGCAAGGCCAACTCCTCTGAACCGAAACCCTGCGAGTCCTAGCCACGAATGGTTATTTATATATATATTATATATATATGTACATACACATATATATATATATGTATATATACACATAAATACATACATATGAGAGAAAGAGAGAGAGAGAGATGTGTGTGTGTGTCTGTATGTAAGGTTGGAAGGTTGGAACGCGAAGAATGACTTGCAAGCAACCCTCGGCATCAAAAAAAAAAACTCCCGTCCTGGAAAATAAAGAAGTTCCGGGAGCGCGGTTGGTTCAACTCTTGAAACTCGAACTTTTGCAGAAAGCTTTGAAGATATTCTTCCTTGGCGGTACACCAACCAGAAGATTGTCGTCTTTTTGATTCACATGGGTCAAAATTCTGGATCGACGACGTCTCTTTCCAGGATTGGCCAACCATTTATGTATATGTATATATAGTATATATATACTATATATATACTATAATATATATATATTATATTATATATATATACTATATATACATATATTATATATACATATACAGACATATATGGCAACAAAAAATAATCCATCCCTTTTAAAGAGCATCTCTAGCTATGACCAGCAAGATTCGAGGTTCCGCGTTTGCAACAGCAACAACAACAACAACAAGAACAAGAACAAGAACAAGGACGTAACTGGGAATGGGTCAGTTCACACTTGTACCCTGGTTTCCACATCCCAAACATGTGGCCAGAATGGTTGATTTTGGGATTTGAATTTAGCAACTCCTAGTTTGGTAAGTTTTTGGATTGTGTGGGTTTGTCTGAAAGTAGAATACCCCACAATCCCAATGGTTACTTCCCCTTTTTTTGGTGGGTATATCCCTGAGAAGTAAACCTATTTGGCTAGTGGGATCACTCATCATAGCTGCCCAGCTAGCTAGACTCTTGATAATTATCACTCTTGATTGCTACCCATCTAGTTATAGTTACTCATCTATTGAGACAAATTAAGACATACCCTGGAAGCTGGCCATGCTAGGCACGTCTTGCTCTCTCCTTTCACGTCGAGCAGAAACCGGGGAGTTCCGGGAAACCTTGACCTCGATGGTATCATCGGCCTGGCAGATGTGCATCTATTTTGGATGTGATGATGTTGGTAATTATTTAATGGATTATCAATATCTTTATCAATTGCATCATTGTTTTAATGTATTTATATTATATTTCGCATTATTAATCTACATTGTCAATTGAACTTTACTGGTGATCATAACTTGAGGCCAGGGGGAGGTACGAATGGTAGCAGGACGGTACTGGTGCTCTACCGGAAACTGCTCAGCTTCAAAAGAATCAAGATAAGTAGGAGTGTCCGACTGCCAAAAGGAAGAACCGGGTTGAGATCCACTGATGATGAAGATAATGATGATGACGACAATGATGATGACGATGCTTCTAGTGAAAATGAACATGAAGAAGATTACAGTAAGATCAAAAAGCAGATGACAATGAAGATAACAAACCTGTACGTGCCCTCAAACCACGGACCAGGGGGGATAGAACCTGGTCCTGCCAGGGGGGAAAGTATATATAACCTCGAAAGCTTCTAGGGATTGGGTTTTCCTGCTGCCTGCCTATTCCTTGCTAAAGCAAGAGCAACCTCAGCTAGCACAGTTAGTTTTCGTGAAAAACCATTCAAAACTGCCTGGTGGTTTTGGGACGTGATTTTTATAAATGGTTTGATGGTCAGGAGGATAATGATCGGTGGCGGAAATTTTGACCCTTCAACCTACCTTTCAACCTCTGGTTTCAGCCTTTGGAAAATCTGTCTTGGAGTTGTTGCCATGATCCCTTGGAACGAGCCGACAAAATTCGACTGCGTTGCCATTCGACAAAAGGCACTCGCTACAGCCCCAACAGAATTGAGGAACAGTCCAGTCGTTGATGCCGACAAGCACTTCTCAACACAGCGCTTTGAAAAGGAACTAGGTGTCTTGAAAACTTGAAAACCAAATTGACCAATGGCTCAAGATGACTTAAGCAATGAAAAATTGGGATGCCATATGATGCCATTCATGATTGAAGTCCTTATGATGGTGCGGTTGAACACAAAAAAGCGGTTCCGGAACGTCACCGGTTCCTCCATCGTCGAGCAGGCCGTGGACTCGGAAGAAGATAAATTCCACGGTTTAGGGCCTGGACACCGGGGTCCCGTGGTGGGAGCAAGTTGCCCGATTCATTGAACGGGGGCATGAATACATAGACTAGATTAGATTTAGCAGGTAGGTAGATAGATAGATAGATCAGATCAGATCAGATCAGATCAGATCAGATATAATATAAGATAAGATGAGATGAGATGAGATAAAATAAGGTAAGATAAGAATAAGGTAAGAATAAGAAAAATAAAAAGATAAGATAAGTTCAGATTAGGTTAGATTAGGTTAGGTTAGATTAGATTAGATTTAGCAGGTAGGTAGATAGATGGTAGCTAGATAGATAGATAGGTAGGTAGATAGATAGGTAGATAGGTAGGTAGATAGATAGGTAGATAGATAGATAGATAGACACAGATATAGATGGGTAGACAGATCGATAGATCGATAGATCGATAGATAGATAGGTAGATAGGTGGATAGGATGGATAGATAGATAGATAGATAGATAGATAGATAGATAGATAGATAGATAGATAGATAGATAGATAGATAGATAGATAGATAGAGATAGATAGATAGATAGATAGATAGATAGATAGATAGATAGACAGATAGATAGAGATAGACAGATAGATAGATAGATAGATAGGTAGGTAGCTAGATAGATAGGTAGACAGATAGACAGATAGATAGACAGACAGACAGATAGATAGATAGATTAGGTCGGTAGGTAGATATGTATATATTTAGATATATTTATATATGAACAGATATGCACATTATAAAAATGTATATGTTTGTGTACGGTTAACAATACACGCATTATGTACACACATACACAATCTACATATATACATACCACACCACACCACACCACACAATACCATACAATTACGTTACATTACGCTACACTACATTACATGACATGACATTACATTACATGACATAACATGACATTATATTACATTACAATACAATACATACATATATTTACAAAGAGAGAGAGAGAGAGAGACATGTTGTAGACAGAATACGTACAAACCTGTATAACTTTCACCCAAGTTTGGCCTGGCCAAGGAACTGTCTGGGATGGCTGGGATATCATCCTCCGCTTTGAAAAAGGCATCTGGCTTGCTGGGGCTCCTCAACGTGCTGAGCATCTCCTCGGCGAAAGACTTGCAAAAGGGTTAGTCAAAAAATTGCACTTATGGTTCGATATGCTATATATATATTATAATAATTCACTAACCTGAAATAAGGCCATTTGCGGATGATTCCTCTTATTAACCCTGATTCCAGTGAGGTCGCAGTGAGTTATAATTTGCCCAGAATAATCTACATACATATATATATATATATCAACCCCAGCCGACGGCAGGGGGGGCACAGCGCCAGAACTACAAAAAGTTAGCTCGGTGGTGTCGATTTAACAAGCACTGCCAGAGCTTGCTTTCTGAAGCCTCTAGTTTTCTACAAGGTGGGGCCCCCCAGTGATGTTTGATGGTTTATAAACCCCATGAATACTATAGTTATAGGTACCAGTAGTACCGCACAAGGCGGTGGCAGAAGTTTCAAAAATAAGGAAACCTAAAGGAGAGGTTGGTTGTTGTGAATCAGGGATGGCAAAGCGAATCCACTGATGGACCGAAAGGTGCTTGAGGTCTCCTCTCTGTCTCTCTCTTTCTCTGACTATCTACCTACCTATCTATCTTCTATGTATCTATCTACCTATCTAGCTATCTATCTCTCTCTTTCTCTCTTTCATCTAATTACCTATCTACCTATCTACCTATCTACCTATCGACCTATCTACCTATCTATCTATCTATCTCTCTCTCTCTTTCATCTGTCTATCTATCTATCTGTCTATCTGTCTACCTGTCTATCTGTGGTGCAGTGTCATTCAGTGTATTGTAGTGTAGTGTAATGTAGTGTAGTGGAGTGTAGCGGAATGTAGTGTAGTGTAGTGTAATGTAGCGTAGTGTAGTGTAATTTCGTGTGGTGGAGTGTAGTTGTGTAGTCGTAGTTGTAGTTGTAGTGTAGTGGAGCGTAGTGTAGTGTAATGTAGTGAAGGGTAGTGTAGTGTAATGTAGTGTAGTAGAGTGTAGTGTAGTGGAGTGTAGTGTAGTGTAATGTAGTGTAGTGTAGTGTAATTTCGTGTAGTGGAGTGTAGTGGAGTGTAGTTGTGTAGTTGTAGTTGTAGTGTTGTGGAGCGTACTGTAGTGTAATGTAGTGTAGTGGAGTGTAGTGTAGTTTAATGTAGTGTAGTGTAGTGGAGCGTAGTGTAGAGCAATGTAATGTAGTGAAATTTAATGTAGTAGAGTGTAGTGGAGTGTAGTCTAGTTGTGTAGTTGTAGTTGTAGTGTTGTGGAGTGTAGTGTAGTGTAATGTAGTGAAGTGTAGTGGAGTCTGGTGTAATGTAACGCAGTGTAGTGTAGTGAAGCGAAGCGGCGAAGCGACATCTGAACCTCCAAAAGTGGTCCGACCATGGTGTGTTTTGTGCATTTTGACTTGGAAATGTGCTTCGCGCCACAACGGCGTGCACTTTTTCGACATCTCAACTTCCAAAAGTGGTCCGAACCCCTGGTGTTTTGTACATTTTGACTTGGAAATGTGCTTCGCGCCACAACGGCGTGCACTTTTTCGACATCTGAACTTCAAAAAGTGGTCCGAGAATGGTGTGTTTTGTACATTTTGACTTGGAAATGTGCTTCGCGCCACAACGGCGTGCAATTTTTCATCTCTCATCTGGCCAGCTGGCTCCGCACCCGCCGCTTAGCGAGCCTACTTTTCGACCCTCCGGAGCCCCAAATCATTGGAAAAACACAGTGTTTCGCGACTTTCCTACCTTTTCGCGCATCTGCATCTTCTTTCTTCTGACTCTTTCTCTTCTGATCTTCTCTCGGCTAATCTTCCTCTTCTCTCTGCCTCTGCCCTGCTCTGCTTTTCATCTGTCCATATTGTCGGAAGTTTAACTTCTAAACTTCCTTCGACCATAAACCATAGTGACATTGGAGTTAATGTGCACCAACTTAGCTATCGAACGGGGGCCCCACTTTCTAGAGGCTTGAGTTTTCCAGAGGCTTCAGAAAGTAACGTCCGGCTTGGAGCATCAAAGATTGTCTCCAGCGGTTTGTGACTTCCTGACAGGTCTAGTGGGGACTGCGATTCCCTGCCACCCCAGAACGACCTTCCTGGGTATATTGGTATATAAATAATAATAATAATAGTAATAATAATAATACATATGTTGTTTGTATTTCTTAGTTCAATATTTTTGGGGGGGCAATACAGGTGGTTTTCAAAGGGTAACTTTTTTGACCCCTGATTTACGTTGATGATTCACCAGCCTGCATTGTCAGTAGAATAAGGAGGCAATATGACAAGGCTAGGATCAGCATGCCACGTGAAACAAATGTGCCTGTCGTTAGGTGCCTCTCTGAAATCCACAAAGTTTCGGATGACCGCACTTCACCGCGTATACCGTATACCGTATACCTGTTGTATTCTTAAGTGGGTCGCTCAAGTCTGGTCAACCTCTTACTCGACAAAATCATCCACGTAGTAAGCGGAGGTAAGTTGTACAAGTTGTAGGTATGGGCAGTATGGAATGTATGGAGATGTTTCCCAGGTGGAAAAAAGGTGTCTTCTTAACCAGGGGTCATTCACCTCTTACAATTCGTCCCATGATCGCCAAGCAGCTCACTCCCGAGCTCGGGGGAAAAAAAAACAAGCCAAGCCAATCGGATTTTCCCAGGCCAACGGCTGCGGGGCCCAACGAAGATCAATTGAACCATAGTCCACAGTGTGCAGAATTTACAGTTTACATTGATCAGTTTTCCTTATGTTCCATCGGGTATCCTTTTCGCACCGGTGCCCCACGCCACCGTTCACAACATAAATGATGATTGTGGCAATGTGCGATTGAGTGGAGGGACCGAGCCCCAAAATGCGCCAAGTAGGGGTAGAAAATCTGCAATGAAAATCTGAATATGGAACTACAAATCGGATCAAAGCGGGACATTTGAAGTGTAAAACCATCTAATTTGGGGGAATCAATAAGTTTGACCCATGCCCACAGGAATCCTTCATACGGCCCTCTTCAAATTGGCCTAGCATAGCCATGTTGAAAGTTGAAAGCGCTTCGGATTTTGACTCGTACAAAATTGCCGGGGATTACTGCAACAACCACAGGATCCTGAAGGCGTTGGACATCTTTAACTTGTGGGGATTGCGAAGTATTTTAATGGCAAATCATGCTCTGTCAGAGCCATACAAGAAGAAAGTGCATCAATCATCAGAAACCATTGCCCTTCTGAGTCAGCTTTGGCAGTCTCGCTTGCCGACCACAATTTTTGGGTGACCAGCATGTCTCGTCCCAGACATTGGCTGAGGGGCAACAGAAACAGACCAATCAAGCTTCCATTGGTCGTATCGCCAATGGTGGCCGGAACGGTTCCGGAACGGTTGATTGAAAAGGGCCCAAAATCCACCCGAAGGCTCCTAAAAGGCAGCTCCACTGCCGTCAAAATTCCGGACGCAAAGTGTGGCGCCCTAGTCAGTGCTCCAAGATCAAAAAAACTGAATTCACTGCATCTGATAGCCTGGCTATGGGTATCGGAAATCTATGGAAATCTGAGACCAATCTGTGATTCCAAGAGAGATTTCCAGACATCCGCAGAGCCAAACCCACCATCACCGGCCAGGTGCTCTGCCGACGATCCCTCCAGGACCACGCCCCAGGCGCTGCAGTGTCACCGGCCGGCACGTTGCGAGATGTCAAGCCACATCCGGTCTGATTCGTCGTCCCTCACTGGTTTTTTGTAAAGAATCAATTTGATACCCTCTGGTAAACTAACATAACTATGGAAAATCACCATTTTTCATGGGAAAATTCACTATAAATGGTGATTTTCCATAGTTATGTTAAATTACCAGAGGGTAAATGGGTTTGTCTGAAAATGTTGTGTACCCCTACACCCAATGGTTTTGCTGATCATTATCCCTACTAAATGGCTATTTCATTGGGGGTATACCTCATTTTCAGACATACCCAAATAGTGAAAAATAAATAGTGAAAACATGTGAAAACATGACATGATGATGACATATGACGGTCATGATGTCATGACAACGACACATCTGCAGTCATTACACTGACGTTCGCATGACACAATGCACTGGGCGACGACCCAACCTCAGAAATCCATGTGCTCTGCGACAACAGAGTAAAACTGATGAGCACCAGAACCAACAAGCAGTCCGTGACATCTGTTTTTTCATTTCACCCCAAGTCAGGTGATCAACCAAGATATCATTCAGCAATGGAAAGAAACGGAAATCCCTCATCTCACGGCCCACTCTTGGCACTAAGGGAAATGGTTCTCAGGAATTGCTAGCGTGAGCAATCCGATTTTTGAGAACCAGATGGGTTTCCCCAAAATGTGTTTTTTTTGGCTGTGGTAGAATCGAGCCACTCTTAGTGTAAAATGATATGAAAGGGCTGATATACTATTATACCATGATCAACCGTTGGGGTTGTTGGAGTTGTTGGGCGTTGGGTTTGGTATGTTATTTTTGGACCAAGCCAAGTTAAAAATCTAGCCCCACTAGGGACTTCAGCAAAAACAGCTTGACGGCCCTTTGAGCACAGCCCGATCATTGCCGATGTGTCAAAGTGGCCAAGTCAAACGGCACCATGTCATGGGCATGATAATCTAGACAACAAAATTAAACAAAAGTCCAGGTGGTTCAGCAACCCCGCCGGTCAAGTTCGAAGGTCCATTGAGCAGATATCAAACGATTTAGATTGTCGCTATATAAAATATCGATTTCTCTGAAAATAAAGTTTTTGCGAGTACTCCGAAACCTGACGGTGAATCATCATTTTTCCCAAGTACAATTTTGGGGGAGGCAAAAAATATAGGTCTTCCATGCGCAGCCATGGAAGAAATGGTGGATATTCCATTGAGATCTCTACACATCAATCCAGGATGCCAATCTCCTGTAAACTGAGTTGCCACCACGAGCCACCACTTTTCCATCATAAAAACCAGGTTTTCCAAGAAAGTTTGCTGCTTGTCCGTGGCTTGATTTATGGGAGAATCTATGGTTTAAAGTTTAGAACATGTTGATTACCTGCAAAATATCGAGGTGTCATCAGGTGTCCTGATTTTTCCAACGAATTCTGAGAACGACCCCGAAAAAACCCGACCGGTCTTCACTTGGACAAATGTCCCTCCAGGACAAACTGTTCGCTTTGCGGGCGACACATGTCCCTCCAGGACTGCCCAGCGAAACTTTTTCCGAGACTTGTGGCAGAGTTGGTGCATGTTGGTGCACAAAGAACTCCAATATATAACTGTTAAGTATATGGTAGACATATATATATGTATATACATATGATCTTATGATCTACCTACCTATCTATCAATCTATCTGTCTGTCTGTCTTTCTGTCTGTCTCTCTGTCTTTCTGTCTGCCTGTCTGTCTTTCTGTCTGCCTGTCTGTCTTTCTGTCTGTCTGTCTGTCTTTCTGTCTGTCTCTCTGTCTTTCTGTCTTTCTGCCTGTCTGTCTTTCTGTCTGCCTGTCTTTCCGTCTGTCTGTCTGTCTTTCTGTCTGTCTTTCCGTCTGTCTTTTTCTGTATGTCTGTCTTTTTCTGTCTGTATGTCTGTCTGTCTGTCTGTCTTCCTGTCTGTCTGTCTTTCTGTCTGTCTGTCTGTCTTTCTGTCTGTCTGTCTGTCTTTCTGTCTGTCTGTCCGTCTGTCGTTCTGTCTGTCTGTCTGTCGTTCTGTCTGTCTTTCTTTCTGTCTGTCTGTTTGTCTGTCTTTCTTTCTGTCTGTCTGTTTGTCTGTCTTTCTGTCTGTATGTCTTTCTGTCTGTCTTTCTGTCTGTCTGTCTGTCTTTCTGTCTTTCTGTCTGTCTTTCTGTCTTTCTGTCTGTCTGTCTGTCTGTCTTTCTGTCTGTCTGTCTGTCTTTCTGTCTGTCTGTCTTTCTGTCTTTCTGTCTATCGAACTAGCTAATGGAGGTTAGTTCATTCAACAGACATAGCTGGTGGGTATGGTCTATCATCATTTGATTTGGCCATAAAATCAGGGGGCTCGTTGCCATTTTCAGACACGCCATGATTCTTTTTCTAATCTGGAGATCTCGGAAAAGGGGAAAGTTCACCGTTGGACCTCCAAAAGACTCCATTGTTGGAGTGTATAAGAAAACAACAGATGAGAAAATTGTGGGTGTCTTGAAGATCTGTTGTGAACCAAAATCCGACAAAATCACTGAAGATCAGACGCAACTCTGCACCGGCGTTATCAGCGAGGCTCAGACATGCCCATGAACTGACGCATGGACACCTGCCACAGGGATGTTAGTTGCAGTCTAAATGAACCTTACATGGGACTTAAATATATTAAAATGCCATATTTTGTAGCCACAAAATCATGGCAGTCATAGTCATGGCTCCGGCTAGCCCTGAGGTGCCCCACAATGGGAGTTTTGTCACGGAGGAAATGAATGACTTCTCGATGAGAACCCATCTGATTTGCTTCCTCGGCACCGCCCATTTCCAACCCTTGCGGCTGGACCACTCAAGCCCTCAACAATTGGCGAAACAACCATAGGTGGGACAACCAACATTATCCAACATTCAGCAAACATTCAGAAACATTCACCCCAACCACCAAGCACCAAGGCTTCAGGCAAATCTTTCGAGCATCGTATGCGATGTCCAATGCCTTTCGGCCCTGGCTCATATACCACTGCTGTTAAGCGGATCGTGAACCCTTTACCGTTCCTGGAATGTACCTATACATACATATACACATACATATACACATGCACATGTTGTTAGCAAGATTCGTGTGTTCGGATACATTGGATACACCACGTTTTTTTACTGGGCATCTGTGGTGAAAGATTGGGCGCCTTGGAAGTCTTCTGGTTAAAGTTAGCTCCCTTGGACACCAACACTCGAAGCAGGTAGTAGTTGCCGAGAAAGGCGGCTACGTGGATGGGATACAACTCCTCCTGAGGCGAAGGCGGCGAAGGCTCGGGCAAAGCAAGTCATGGCTATTTTGGCCAGCCATGGCCAGTCACTGTCCTTCTTGGGACCGAAGAAACTCCACCCTTCAGTCCGCGGCTGATTCACCCCTTTCTCAAACCTCAGGAAGATGGCAAAAACATCCTCAGTCGTAACTTGCTATTGAAATCAGAATTGAATGCATACTGAGGATCCTGTCATAAGTAAGTCACCTTGAATCGCCTGCTTACCCTGATTGGACAAGGCCAAGAAGATATTGAAATCTTAGAAGGTAAACAAAAAAAGATGCCACCAGAAGCCCTTCAGCAAATCCGCGACACTTGAACTTCCGGAGAAATTCTGCCAAAAAATCTTCCTTAGCTCAGCTCCCAAGATCCCCAAAATTGGGGTACCCATCTGCAGTTGGATGATCCTCCAAAAAAAATACGTTTGATGTGCATCACTCACTGATGGCATATACCCGTTCAGTAGGGGTCACTATGTAAATAATAAATAGGAAATGTATGTGATGTGATGTGATGTGATCTGATGTGATGTGATGTTATGTGATGTTATGTGATGTAATGTGATGTGATGTGATCTGATCTGATGTGATGTGATGTGATCTGATGTGATGTGATCTGATGTGATGTGATGTGATGTGATCTGATGTGATGTGATCTGATGTAATGTGATGTGATGTGATCTGATGTGATGTTATGTGATGTAATGTGATGTGATGTGATCTGATCTGATGTGATGTGATGTGATCTGATGTGATGTGATCTGATGTGATGTGATGTGATCTGATCTGATGTGATGTGATCTGATGTGATCTGATGTGATGTGATCTGATGTAATGTGATGTGATGTGATCTGATGTGATGTGATCTGATCTGATGTGATCTGATGTAATGTGATGTGATGTGATGTTATGTGATGTAATGTGATGTGATGTGATCTGATGTGATGTGATGTGATCTGATGTGATGTGATCTGATGTGATGTGGTGTGATCTGATGTGATGTGATCTGATGTAATGTAATGTGCTGTGATCTGATGTGATCTGATCTGATGTGATGTGATGTGATGTGATCTGATGTGATGTGATCTGATGTGATGTGATGTGATCTGATGTGATGTGATCTGATGTAATGTGATGTGATGTGATCTGATGTGATGTGATCTGGTGTGATGTGATCTGATGTGATGTGATGTGATCTGATGTGATGTGATGTGATCTGATGTGATGTGATCTGATGTGATGTGATGTGATCTGATGTGATGTGATCTGATGTAATGTGATGTGATGTGATCTGATGTGATGTGATGTGATGTGATCTGATGTGATGTGATGTGATGTGATCTGATGTGATGTGATGTGATCTGATGTGATGTGATCTGATGTGATGTGATCTGATGTGATGTGGTGTGATCTGATGTGATGTGATCTGATGTGATGTGCTGTGATCTGATGTGATCTGATCTGATGTGATGTGATGTGATCTGATGTGATGTGATCTGATGTGATGTGATGTGATCTGATGTGATGTGATCTGATGTATGTGATGTGATGTGATCTGATGTGATGTGATGTGATCTGATGTGATGTGATCTGATGTGATGTGATGTGATCTGATGTGATGTGATCTGATGTGATGTGATGTGATCTGATGTGATGTGATCTGATGTGATGTGATCTGATGTAATGTGATGTGATGTGATCTGATGTGATGTGATCTGATGTGATGTGGTCTGATGTGATGTGATGTGATCTGATGTGATGTGATGTGATCTGATCTGATGTGATGTGATCTGATGTGATGTGATCTGATGTGATGTGATGTGATCTGATGTGATGTGATGTGATCTGATGTGATCTGATCTGATGTGATCTGATGTAATGTGATGTGATGTGATCTGATGTGATGTTATGTGATGTAATGTGAATGTGATCTGATGTGATGTGATGTGATGTGATCTGATGTGATGTGATGTGATCTGATGTGATGTGATGTGATCTGATGTGATGTGATGTGATCTGATGTGATGTGATCTGATGTGATGTGATGTGATGTGATCTGATGTAATGTGATGTGATGTGATCTGATGTGATGTGATGTGATCTGATGTGATGTGATCTGATGTGATGTGATCTGATCTGATATGATGTGATCTGATGTGATGTGATGTGATGTGATCTGATGTAATGTGATGTGATGTGATCTGATGTGATGTGATGTGATGTGATCTGATGTAATGTGATGTGATGTGATCTGATGTGATGTGATGTAATGTGATGTGATCTGATGTGATGTGATGTGATCTGATGTAATGTGATGTGATGTGATCTGATGTGATGTAATGTAATGTGATGTATGGACATATATGTACATATCGCCCAGTTACGACTCATTTGTTCTGCACATCCACATATATATATATATATATAGTCCATCAACGTCCCAATGATGTATTACATTGTGTGTATATTAATACGTATGCATATATATATATATATATTATTATTATTATCATTATTATTATCATTACTACTACTATTATTATCATTATTATTATTGTAATTATCATCATTATATATATATTATTAATATTATATACATATATGTATATGTATATGTTGTATCATGTATCCCAATCAATATCCTCATGTTCAGCTCAGATCGGCCCCAGCTTTATCCCTGTCTAATGCGGGAAACCCAATGCCAAAAGCCTACCATTTGGGGATGGTTCACACAAGCTTTACCACATTACTCCATGTATTGATGGTTGGATCCCATTTAGATCCCACGTTTCTGTTATGTTTTAATCATGTTAAACTGTTAAATCATTCTAATATATTTTAAGCAGAATGTTTGATCACTGCGACAAAATTCAGGCTGTCAAGTTGCCTCTTCCTTCCGATGCACTTCTCGCTTGGCACGGAATCGGAGTCGGAGTTCCGGCAGCTCCTCGTCCGGGTCCTTAGGGTCCTTGATGGCGGATCCCTGCCACCCGAGTGAACCATGGGGTGCGGATCCCTCCAAAAGTGGCTTTAACGGTATGTATATGACATACAGATCCCATCCAATATATGGGACTCAGATTGGCAGATTTGATCCCTTATGAACATCAGTGGTGGGCGTTGTAGCGATATGTTGAAACTGTTTTTACCAGGCAAAGATGCTGATAACCACATAAATCAGATACTTTCGTGTAGTTGCAACATCTTAAACTATCTATGTATGTAAATATATATATATATATGCACACTACACACACATAATACACACATAAACACATGTGTGTGTGTCCCTGAGGGTTGCCAATTGGAGTTGATTGAGATGAAATAAGCCCATCCATGTAGGCATTTTTTTTGTACCTTCAACAGCATGGAGGTGTCCGCCAAACCCCGATGAGGCTACGGCTACTATCATGCCGCTATGCACCCACAAGATTGGTCATGTTGAGTACAGGATGGGGCCCCAGTTCGTTAGCTAAGTTGGTTTACAACTATAATAACCATAGTGTATGATACTTATAACGTATAACTTATAAGTGTATTTTGCTGGGGTTATAAACCAACTTATAACTGGAGGGCCCCATCCAGTGAATTCATCCAACTGCATTTCGCCGAGGTATCCGAGGTCTCCGAGGCATCCAAGTCATCGTCAGAGGCGTCGTTAAAACCGTCCATCGCCCTGGAATTCGTGGCGCACGTGGACACGTCCGAGATCGCCGAGGTATCCGCTTTCGCTTTCTCTGGCAGATCCATGGGCAAACCTCGCTTCCACATGTCGGGGATCCCAAGTGATATGCTTCCTGTCCAAGACAATTCTTGAAGTCAATTAAGGAGAAAACCATCCCAGAGTTCAAAACAAAAAAATGAAGCCACCAAACAGAATGTGCGTTGGATCAAAACATGAAGTACCAAAATGGAAGGAAGTTTGGCCGATTCTTCTCCCATACAACTTTGGGTGTCGTGATAGCCGCGGTGATACGGGGCCTGGCAAGGGCATATCATCATCCTCATATGCCAATGGTTGCATGGAGCTCTTCAAATTGCCGAGACCCATCATCTTCCAGTCCTGAGCTGCGTCAGACGAAGCATGGCATCAGATGGGTGCACCGTTGGCCCCAGAAATGGCGGGTCATGTCTGATTTCGGGAATCATTTGAGCCACATGCACATGTTGAATCAATGGGATTTCAGTTATAACAAAGAACATAAAATGGGATTTCATCAGATTTCACCAGAACAACATGGGATAAAGATTGATATACCATGATATTATACCATGATATACCCCATCTACCAGATATTTTCGGGACATCGGAGTTGCTGATGGATCCCCCAGCAGGCTCCAAGGCTCCGAGACTTGGCGCTGGAAATTTTTCGCAGCGATTTTTTCAGCGGTTGCGTTGAACCAAAAGACTCGCAGTATGTTGGTGGTGAATAGTGTTATAATAATAGTGGTTAATAATGGTTAATAATGGTTAATAAATATTATGTTGGTGGTTAATAGTGTTATAATAATAGTGGTTAATAACTGTTGGTGGTTAATAGTTAATAATGGATATTACATAATATAACTATAATTATAGTTACTATAGTTGGTAGTATTTAAATGTACATATCACCAACTATCAATTCGCTGAGTAGCAGACTCGATTTTTCACAAAGATATTCGAGACCGAGATCGGCCCTGAATAAAAAAAAATAAGCATCAAAAATTGGGCAAATCAACATGTCAACTTTCAACCAGCGGCATCTGTGTCATGTGCAGGCCTGAACCCTTCTGGCGCTTGGCAGGCGGTTCCAACTCCTGGATGTCAACAAGACAATGGGGGTGGAAATTCTCGGGGAAAACCGGTAGCTAATCGTCTGCCAAAGCGGGGGGCTGAGCCATCAAAACGGTGGTTTGACCAAGAATCATTAGGTTTGACATGTCACAAAACTAATGTTTAAGCAATTCATCCAGCTTTCCCAAAGCGCGTTTCCAAAACTTTTAGGTCCACAGCATGGTTCCAAAGGCTCCAATGGTTTCAAGATTTCACTGCCAGGTTCTAATGCTCAAGGCTTCCAACATTCCACAGGATTGCCGGGAATTCCCCAGGTCGCAGGGTTGCATTCCGTTCTAAGGTTCTGAGTTCGAGTTTTCAACGTTCCAGGCCGCGATCGGGTTCCAGGGTTCCAGATCCATTCCCAAAAGGATTGGCGAAACTTTGCAGGCACATCAACGAGATTAAGCAAGTGGGTATGGGTCAATACCTATAGATACATTTTAGTGGGATGAACATCCATTTACCAGCTATTTTGGGGTTCACTAGGTACCAGGGTTTTGACCCATCCCCAAGTCTAGTTTGTTTCTTTTTCTGCACCAGCCGCCCTTCCTAAACAGTTTTAGATGGTGATCTGGATATACACGTGCCATTGGATACAAAACATGGCAAAATTTACAGCAATGATCATTCCATCTATGATCCCCACCTTAAACTTCCACACGCAGCCATAAATCCCTTTGTTTGGGTTTCAATCCCCATGTCAGTAACAACATGCGGATGGAAGCACAATGGTGATGGTTAAATCCATTCAATTTCCCTAATTTCTATGAGCTAAATCATGTCCAATCCCAAATTTTGCTCTAAACATTCATTTTCATAGTCCCTACCATTTTTTGCGAACAATAAACCACCATGTTTGATGATTAAACAGCCGTTGTGTACCATGTTTGACATGTTTTGATGAAATTCCAAGGGAAACTGCGGCGATGGTCCGTCGGTCCGTCCTCCTTAGGAAGCTGCGGGATGCTGATGGGCTGCGTCATGTGAAGCTCCTCGGGGCCTGCGCCGATGCCAAGATTGGGATGTGGAAATCATATAATATGTGTATATATGTTGCAAATATGTAATACATTATATATTTATATTACATGTATATGTGTAGTGTATCATATATATATACATATATATATATATAACATCTATAGTATATATTATATAGTATATTGTATATATTGTATATTATACATTATATATTATATATTATATATTATATATTATATATTATATATTATATTACATTATATATTATACTCTATATCATTATATATATATACATATATATTATATATTATATATTATAAATTATATATTATATATTATATATTATATATTATATGTTATATGTTATATATTATATATTATATATTATACATTATACATCATATATTATATATAATATATGATATATAATATATGATGTATAATATATGATGTTACATTATATATAGTGTATAGTGTATATAGTCTATAGCATATATGCAACATCTATAGTATATAGTATATATTATATATTATATATTATATATTATATATTAAATATTAAATATATAATATATAATATATAATATATTATATATTATATATTATATATTATATATTATATTATATATTTATATATATTATATTATATATATTATATTATATATATATATATTATATTATATATATTATATTATATATATTATATTTTATATATATATTATATTATATATATATTATATTATATATGATATATGATATGTGATATATTATATATGATATATTGTATGTTATACATTATATATTATATAATATGTAATATTGTATATTATATAATATTATATTATATCATGTTACATTATATGTAGTGTATAGTGTATATAGAAGAATAATGTATTAACTTGTATAACATATATATAAATACACACATACAGTCCTTGTTTTTTGTTTGGAGCGTATGTGCACAGATAGAGAGAGAGAGAGATGTCTAGTTCCAAGGCTATGCAACTGATATGACTGACAAGGAGTTACTGGACACGTTTCCGTGCATAGAATTGATGTGATCGATCATGTTTCAAGCAATCATGTTTGGGATATTCTAGGGGACCATCGAACCATTCAGCCCAAAAAAATGGCTGGTTTCCCCGGCTGTAGAAGATGTAGTCCAAGACTTCATGACGACCTTCCTGCCACAGGGGCTTGGTGATCGACAAGAGTCCGCAGCTGGTGACATGGTTCTTATGATGTCCTAAAGAACTGGTTCCTATGTGTTGTTAGATATTATCCTCATTTGTTGGATAGATAGAAAGATAGATAGACAGATAGATATATAGGTAGATAGATGGATGGATGGATGGATAGATAGATAGATAGACAGAGGTAGATAGATGGATTAGACAGACAGACAGACAGGCAGACAGACAGATCGATGGATGGATGGATGGATGGATGGATAGATAGATAGATAGATAGGTAGATAGATAGATAGACAGATAGAGAGATATGTATATATAATGAATTAATTGTCTATATATATCATCTCTAACCAGTGGATGTGAAGAAAGCAACAAAAATCACGAATCCTGTCCTGCCAGTGCCATTGGTCTCTGGCATCCGCTTGGCCCTGACCATGCTCCCAGAAAGACAAATTACAGAGTACACATATGATTATGAATTATATTATATTAATACCATCAGTATATACATATATATATATATTATATATACAGATAGATTCTATATATTCAACATATAAATTATACATGTATCCGTCATGACCGCTTGTGAATGCACAGCTACGCTGCACCGCTGCACCCTTGGCCGCGCGAAGAAGTAGACATCCGGCTTCAGAGTGGTAAAGGCGCCTGGCCCCCCCATGGTGGCCCCATGGTGGCCCCCAATTCCTTGGCGCTAATGCGTAGCCAAGAATACTATATGTATAATGAATCATAGTACATATATATATATATATAGCAAGATTATTGATGATATTATATTATATATATATGTATAATATATAATATATGTAGATACTGTATTTTTTTGATATATAATATCACCAATAATCTTGCTTCCAATGAAGTTGATATCAAACCACCCACAAAAATGCGGGACCATCGGCCCAAATCTCTTGAGGGCTTGGGTGGGGCCCGAGACCTTGGGAGGATTCTGTGACAATATCACAGTAAAATATATAAATGCACAGAAGATCATTCGTAATAATGGATTTGAAATATGGATTTGAAATATGTTTTGTTCTGGAATGTCTGCTTGGAGATTAAAAGACTATGGGATGTCATCGGACATGGTTACCCTCTGGTAATTTAACATAGCTATTGAAAATGGTCATTTATAGTGGATTTACCCATTAAAAATGGTGATTTTCCATAGCTATGTTAAATTACCAGAGGGTAATAATTGTGATATCTGATGATATCTGTAATATAGTGATACCTGAAATATTCCAGTGACATCTCATATCCATATTATCCATGCACATTATGACACATGGATAAAACATGATAAGACACTCCAACATCTCCCGATGTGAGCTGCAGAATCAACCAAGTGGTCCATGATGACCAAAGGGTCCATGAATACCAGACAAGCATCTTCCTCACAAATTACCATTAAAAATGGTGATTTATGGTGGTTTAATGGGATTTTATGGTGGTTTAATGGGATCTAATGGGATTTAATAGGATTTACCCTCTGGTAAACATACAAAAAACTATGGAAAATCACCATGTTTAATGGGAAAACTCACTATTTCTATGGCCATTTTCAATAGCTATGTTAGTTCCATCATTGTGGGCCAAATCTCCATTCTGGATATCCCCCATTGCTGGCAAGTATCCCATTCTTCCCAATTCATATTCCCCTTGCCATCCGTTCGGAAAAATCTGTTGTAATACTCGAGTTGATCATCGGATGGAGTTTTTTCATGATGCATGCTTATTGCTACCCTCTGGTAAATTAACATAGACCCTGGCAGATAGGGGTTGGAAGACTAGTTTCCATTAAAAATTGGTGATTTTCAGGGTCTATGTTTATTTACCAGAGGCTATAACTTGATTTACCAGAGGCTATAACTTGAAAATTCGTTGATAATATCTCAATATGGAGGTTTCCTGAAATGGGGTACCTCTAAATCATCCATTTTAAAAACGGATTGTCCATTATAAACCAACCATCTTGGGGTATTCCCATTGTGGAAACCCCCATATCTCCCTGTTTGTTCAGTTAAAATCCCTTGATATCCCTGGACCCTTGGGCCTTCAGGATAGCCACAATGGCCACGTGGAAGGCAGGCATCGTGCAAGCTCCTGGTGCATCGGTCCAGCAATATGGTCCTTGTAGGAAAAAATAGAGAATCCTGGGAAGCCTCTATTCATCAACTTCATCACCCCACCAGTGGGGAATAATGGGAATAGGGATTGATCGTTCTATCTGTCTTGTAGAAGGGATGTACTCGTGTTTATATCTTCTTTCAACCATCATGGATAAACCTACCAACAAACTGGGATATCTTTGATCAACTACGACCACTGGCAGGATTGATCATCCAACGAATTCTTATCCATTGGGGGTGGAACCATCCTTTATCAACAAAAGGGATTTCTTATCATTGTTCATGAAATTAACCGTTCGTGGATGGGAATTTTACTAACTGGATGTGATGTGAAAACATGTTTCAGAAGGAAAGCTTGCAGGGATTCAGCGTTCTATCCCTTTGGGGGCTCCAAGAACCATCCTAGATAAAAACATATAAAAACCAATGTACATTGATTTTTTGGGACTCACAACATCACCCACGGTACATTGATCAATGGTCATGTTCAAAATGAGAACATAGCCCTTGGACCTGGTGACCTGAATGTTCTGTATCCAGAAAACGCCATCAATGATGTCCAAAATCGGGAGTAAATAATGATAATAAACTTCACCCTTAAAATATCCCAGAAATGCGGCCAGAGTTCTGCGGATTCTTCTCCGCAGACCTTGTCAGTTTTTAACGACAAACATTTTTGGCCTGTCCTTGTGAGCACTGAATAGGCGTCCGAGCCTGGCAGCGAGTTCAAGTCTCCACAGACCACGGCGGCAGGCCTGTGACGTGGCGTGACGTAAACACCCAAGGGAGTTCTCCAAATGTCAACAATGAGTGGACGAACACTAACTGGGAATCTGGAAAAATGATGGTGGGCAATTTTTTTTTGCTACCCAATTTAAGTGGATAAAAAAAAAGGATGGTTTTAAGTTTGAAGTAAGACTGACCTTGAGGTCTCATTTTTCCGGCCATAATTGGCCATGTAATCACATAAAGCAAGCTGCAGCTCATGTCAGGCCACCTGGCCTCACTAGAAACAAAAACAGAAAGCCCAGCAAAGAATCACCGTCAGTGGTTCACTCAGTTGTAACTCACCAACAATGCGCCAAGTTCAGCTCCCCAAGTCACACACAGTGACTTTCGGCACAGCATCCCATTCCATGCCATTCGGGGACCATCATCCCATGCCGGTGAACCATCCGGTGAAGCCCTGAAAACGATCCCACCTCGAGCCCGTAGCAGCTTCGTGCTCATGGGACATATCTTCCATGAGCCCCATCAGTTCCTGGTGCCAGCACCAATCGGTGGTTTTTCATGGGAAAACCATAGGAAAACCATTGGAAAATGGAGGTTTACCCTCTGATAATGGCAGTTGCAAGAGTTGCAGCCCATGATATTCTTCTGGGTGAAGGAGCCCATATTTTTGCTTTGGTTGAAGAAGCCAAACCAACAGGATTCCAAAGCACTGGACTCCAAACCGCAAGTCGACTATTGGTATTGGCTCATCAACATGATGGCCGCCAAAAGATCGAAGAAAATGTTCAGGTGCGTCAAACAAAGTATCGAGATGGGATGAAAGTGGGCCAAGTATGGGTGGCTTATGTACTACATTTCACCTGTGTAGCTACAATGCCATGAACATCTGTGGCACATCACCAGTTTAGGCCTGTTTTAAACCACCCTTTGTCTTTAGCTATACACGGCTGTAGACATGTTACATGCAACATCACCTGGTCTGTACGTGTAGATTCTACGTGAAAATAGGACTATATTATATGTAATTAATTGTAATTATATACTGATTATTTGTACATTGTACATACTGATGTATTTATGTGTATATAATATCTCAATACATGCAAATCTATGTAAATGCATCTAAATATATCCAAATACTAAATATATCTAAATATATTTATATGTAAATATATAACAGCATATGAGACGTCGTGTCACCTCCCAAAAAAGAACTGCTCCGCCTGCGCTTCAGAGGCTTGGTGTCCAGCCGCCTGGTCCCAGTGCAGATGGCTGGACAGCACCAGCAGCATCTGCTGCGTCGGCAGGTGCTTCAGCATCTGCAAGCGCAACGACATGACATGACATGACGGGAGTTGATTTTTTTTTAAAGGTGGGTTAGCATCAACAAGACGGGAGCTGTAATCATTAAAAAACATGGAAGGCTGCCCACCCAAATAGAAAGTTGATCATCAAGAATTGCAGACTTTGAAAAATGAAGGTAGTTTTACAATCAAAGTTGGTGATTCTAATATACAAAAAAATAGGAAAAAAATTGGAAAGAGTTGCAATTTCAGACTCTGGTAACCACAAATGTTCGGTCCGTCATAGCCCTACTCCCCTAAAATGGTCTGTACCAGTAAGGAGTATCAATCCATGGTGATGAACCTCAATGTCCAACATGCTTTTCGGTAAGCAAACGGGGCAACAGAATTTGAAATCAGGGATGGGCAAATGTCGCTTAGCAAATTGGATCCAAATTGGCCACAGATACAGCTCCTCAAAGGATTTTGTTCCGCCTGCCCGACTGCAATGCGATCATTCACAGGACGAGCCTGATGTGTCGTGCTGAAACATTGGGTAGCCAAAAAATGATGAATTTCTCAATGAAAAAGGAACAATCCATGCTTGGTCTGCGCTTCAAACTTTGACCCTCAAGAGGCTAATTGGGGAAGCCAGTCGTCTTGTTTTTCAGACACAGTGACTCAATGACCTGGTGCCATGGTGCCCTGGTGCCATACCTTGCTCCCCATCGAGCGGCACCAGAAACCACCCAGTTATCTGTGGCTGTGACGTAGATCAAAGCGCGACAAGGACCGACCTTGGAGGCATCCGTTGGTCCGTTGGGAAGGGGCTTTAGTTTGGACCCCACACCTATGAGCCTCGACTGCTGAGAACTCGTGCCAAATAAAGCTAAGCCTTTTGACATGACTAAGCCTGACTAAGCTTAGAGATATTTACACAACATACAGTCACAGCCACGGATAATGGATGATAATTGATGACAATTGGCATCAATTGGCTATATTTCTCCATGAAAGTCGGCAAAAAGTTCCACTCATCCATCGGCCCATCGACCTTCAACAGTTCAACCACCATCCCAGGGGCATCACCGGCTGAAAGACCTCCCGGCGCCAGAAGATACCACAGCCGTCCTGCTTCCCTGGACGTGCTTGGAAGATGGCCTCACAGTGGGATTTCATGGTATTTTTTGTGGAGAATATACTGTGGCAAATATTGTGATTACACATAATGACATATATATATATAATAGTAGTAAACCCATGGTAAATCTCATTTTGCTTCGACTTTAATGTGGGTATATAGTGGTTGAATTCGGACACACCACAAGTTATTTTTCAATTTTCCATGGGGGAACATAGAATCTGTAGCCGATGCATTGCGACATTCGATCTAAGGTTTCGATTCTGGGTTAGAAAAAATAGGGGAAGGGATGATATCATAGAAATATCTGATTCCTCAAAATGGAGATTGATGGTCCGAAATCATTGAAACGTTGGAGTAATGATCTTATATCCCAAGAAAAACAAGAGATGGCTGGAAATCTGTGGGAAATGTCGGCGTTGGATGTTGAACTTGGAAACGGATAAGAACTTATTTACCCTCTGGTTATGACTAACAGTTCGCCATGGTTTTTCGATGGCCCATAGAAATAGATGGTTATAGTGGATTTACCTATTATAAATGGTGATTTTCCATGGCTATGTCAACGTTGAACCCCGGGAACTCCCACTCAGTCGCCCACATCATAGCCATCGGCGTCCAAGATCTCACGAAACCTCAGCCAGGATTTTTGGCCAACAGCTGCGTGTCATTTCCTAAAAACGAAAAATATTGTATATGATGTATAATTATATATGATATATACAGTATATATATATATCATATATATATATATACGAGTATATATATATCATATATAATGAGAAATTCACTGAATTGGATGTGAATCAGCCCAACGTGCTCACAGTGCTACAGTGCCACCAGTATAGCTGGTTGTATGCAAGTCTGGTACCGAGAAATTACAACCGCATGTGCAAGAGGTCAGGGCGCATCATTGTTCCACCTGATCTCAACTGAACGAGAACTGTCGATTGCAAAGGGTCTTGGGGATCCCCAAAAAGGAAATGGCAGCCCGTTCAAACTGGTCCATTTAGACCTACTTCTATCTGACTTTGGCTCCAAATTTTGCCCCAGAGACCCACAGAGGCTGTTTTTTCTGACCCATGCACATGTTTGGGCCGCAATATACACGGCGGATTCCGAACGTAGCGGTCATCATATAGTCCGTGTAAACCGTTCCGAATGTCCATCTGCAAGGCTTGATAGGCCATAACCCCAATTTCTGCTGGTTGAATTTCAATGTCTGGTACATATATCAGACTTGTTGGGTTGCTCAAACACGCATCCTCATGGGCAAATAACCCATCACACCCATCCAGCACATTGTGCTGGGCCGAATTTTCCCCGCTCGAATTCCTCCACTTGTTCATGGATGTGTCATATCTAATGTGGAAAAAATAACCATCCAGTCATCTAATGGTTTCTACCATGGATGGTTTTCCATAGTTTCTCCGAGTTTCTCCATCAAAACTTGATTTCTATCCCCAGTCATGGCAGTCATGGCAGTTGTGGCATTGGAAAAAGCCCACAATCGATCCACCAGTCACTGGGTGCAGCCAGCTCATGGAAACAATCGAGCTCAACCATGCAAAGCACATCGGCGCCTCAGCGTCTTTGGGCCGTGTTTTTTTTACCGTAAAAATGGAGATTTCAGTAGCAGTTTGTTGTTGTTTGCTTCATCGGATTTTTCATCAAAACATGTTGTCCCCGGGATCCCAAACTCAAAGATCTGATCTCCTTCAACAAGACCTGACTGCAACGACTCTTCCAGGATCAAATTTTGAGAGTAAACAGTCCACCCAGTTCTTTCGCATCGAGCCCAACATATCCAACATACGATGGCTGTGAAATCCGATCAACCACCAAACGGATGGTTGAAACCCTATAAATAATGGGATGTTTACCACCTATCAACTGGTGCAGGAATTCTTCCAATCCAACATATCCAACATATATTGCGGCCCTGTCATGGGTCTATTGGACGGGACACAAACGCACAAACGCTCCACTGACTTCGCGCCTGCAGCCGGTAAAATCTAGAAGGCCTCAGGAAATCTGCAACCGCCTCCGCTGGTATCAACCAAAAAAAATAAAGATGATACCGTTTTAAAGATGAAAGATCGTCCTACCCAACCGATGCACTTCTATGTATTCATATACACATACATTTATATATCATAATATATATATATATCATATATATATATACATACATATCATATATATATATATCATATATCATAGTGGTGGAAAGGTGGAAAGATGCTCCGCACCTGTCGCAAAGCACCTTGGGTGCCCGCACCCATCTTCTGAGGACCACAGCAAGGAGCGTGGGAAGTGTCCCGCCTCGGCTATGACCACGGCCAGGAATATCAGGAATCAGGGAATCATAAGGAATCATAGTATACATATTATACATATCATACATATGATATATATCATATAATATATATGATATATATCATATAATATATGATATATATATATATATCATATAATATATATGATATATATATATCATATATATTATATGATATATATCATATAATATATATATGGTGATACATAATACAGTAATTAAACAATATTCACCGATATTCTATGTGATGAGTGCTGTAATCACTCATCACTGGTGCTGGGATGCCATGCGCGAGACCAATCCCAATGGGAACTTGAAAACGAGGCAGGCAAAAAGTCTCTGGCATAGTGAAACCTGGCATTTTCAGGCATTCAGTAGCCATTCGAAAAAACCAATGGCGCAGAATTCCAATGGGGGGATGGTCAGCAGGACACAGCAGGACACTGCCGAAAAATGGTGGGAACCACCGAGATCTGCAGGGCTCCACCGATCTCGGAACGAACTCTAGGCCAGAAGGACCACATTGTGCCGGCCATATTCTTGCCTTGATTGGTTTGTCATTGGGCAAACTTCACAGCATTTGTAGATGATTCCCCAACTGATCTAATAAATGTAATATAAATGTACCATTCCCAGGTGAAGATAGTTGATGAGTGGGTGCGGCCAAAAAAAATGATTCCACAGTGCTACCCTTCTGTGATCTGGCAATGACTGAGTTGCAGGCCGAGGATGTTGAAATGTCCCACACGGAACGACATCGTTGCGGTTCCACACACTTACAGAAGGATGCACCCAATTCCATAAATCTCACAATAGATCAACCAATGGTTGATGGTTGGCAACGGTCAGTACCCAACCATTTCTGGTGACATTGGGAATGGCTGATGATTGGGTTTACCACACTGACATGCACAGAGTTGCCTCTGTTTGTGAACTGTTTTGCTCTATTAATAGGAGAAAAAAACTATCCTCACTAGTGAAAAGATTTTTCTGGAGCCCTTGTTGCATATGGCCCCACTACCACTATCCGCTGATAAGAAATCGATAGAAATGGAAAAGAGATCCTAAATGTGGATCATGTGAGTACGTTGTGATTGAATGATGAACGATCATGAACGCATGGAGGTTGACGTTTCTGAATGGCTCAGCTTTACTCAGCTTCGCGGAGGTACGCTCAGTTACACGGAGGAATCATGGTGTGTACATATATATATAGTGATCACTACCATAACAAAAAAACTCTGGAGATTGGTGAATCACTACAACACAATAGAAAATTAACTATCAAAGATCAATGTTGGAGGATCTAGATCTGTTTGGATTCAGCACTCGTGTGTGTTTGGAAATCATGGGCATGCGGCATGTGTGGCCTCAACATAAAAAGATGTTCAAGCACTGAAACTCCAGGTTCCAAATCAGAAAAGGACGCAAAGGAACAAACCAGTTTTTCTGGTTTTGTGGGTCATGTTGTTTCAGTTTCTCTATGGTCCTATGCCATTCAGATTCGCTGCTGTGACACCTGATTTTCACGTGGCCGTCGCCGTTGCAGAAAGCAGCTGCCTGAAATCGTTGGTGTTTCGGTGATCATCCAATGCACCAAGATCACCAGGCATCTTTTTAATTTCTTGCAAGAATCCATGTACCCTCTGGTAATTTAACATAGCTATTGAACATGACCATTTATAAGTGGATTTTCCCATTAAAAATGGTGATTTTCAATAGCTATGTTAAATTACCAGAGGGTAATTGCTTTACAATAGTAAAAATCTCCCAAAAACCATGTTTTTTGGATTGGTCTGGAATGGGGATCAGTTCACTGGGCGGAGAGGTCTTCACTGCTCCGAAACCCTGCCTTCATCCGGGCAGAAGGTCCAACTGCCGAATCCCAATCTCAGACAAGACCTCACTTGGTGGCTCATCCCACTTAGTAAGTGGGTTATAACCCCAGTTATAAATGGGATAAGTAGGGTTAATCCACTTATAACTGGGGTTATAACCCACTTACGAGCAGTGGGATGAGCCACCAAGCAGGAAACCCCGGGGTTCATTGAGCTGGTGAAGCTGAATGTTCCTACTCCTTAGCTCGAAATCCATGGAGTTTTGACCCAAAATCCATGGTTTCCCTACTTGTAGTGGACGTATAGGTACAGGCTCAAGATTCTTAGGGCCAGAAACTCCGCAAATGGACCTCCTGTCGCTCCTTGTTTTAAATTTGCCAAATTGATTGATTTTTCACCTCGGACCCTCAAACTTCCAACGAAAACCACTATGGAGCGGAAAAAAAACCTTGCAAAACTGTATGGAAAAATCATACGGTAATCATCCCAGCAATATGCCCATTACTATTCCCGTTACTACCCTCTGGTAATTTAACATAACTATGGAAAATCACCATGTTTAATGGGAAAATCCACTATGCCTATGGCCATTTTCAATAGCTATTTTGACATAACCAGAGGGTAAACCTCCATTTTCCATGGGTTTTCCTATGGTTTTCTGATTAAAACTTCCGTTTTCCATGGGTTTTCTCTATTTTCCCTATGAAACCACCATGATTTCACTGGGCATCCCCCACCACTTCATTGGCCAAGGGCCGTCCGGAGCCACCAGCGATGCCCAGCTCGAAATCGTGGGGCCCGGCGTTGGACGTGTCCCGGGCCATGGCGGTCTTCAACTCCCCCACGCTGCTGCCCTGGCGGAAGTTCCAGCTCCCAATGTATAAATATACATACATATATATAGCTATCAGTGACGCTTAGCGGAGGTGCGCTGTTAAGGTTTCGGCTGCAGCACCCCCTCGCTAGCCGTACCGGAACCTAAGCGGTGCAATTTTCTTTTTGCGACCGCGGGCACCCTTGAGCTCTTCCAATCCTGTGCTGGTTGGAATCTCCATTGCTCTGAAAGTTTGTCTTTCTCGATCCTGGACTTTGCGAACAAGCCTTGCTGGTGTCCTTGACTTGGTCAGGCGCGTGCATCCTTGGTTTTGCTGGTCCTCATTCCCCTGAGGCGCTCTCAGGGACGGGTTAACTGATTCTCTGCCATAAATCAGTTTTTGGGTCGTGGACTTTGACGACGAGTTCTTCGAGCATATTGATGAGCCTCGGGTTTGCCTTTTTGATACAGCTTCTCTTTGAGATTTCCTTTGAGTACTCTTTGCCTGTGAGTTGTTGCCAGTTTCGCCACGGCTTCAACCACACAAAGACGGACATTGCGCAGGAGACGGGCTACTGCAAGGAGATTGTGGTTCCTTCATCGTCGAGGAATACTTCATCTTTCGCAAGAGCGTCTCAGGAACATTTTCCAGGTGCTACGCCACCACCATTCAAAGGACGAGACTTTCTTGAGCCTCATCGCAGCTACAATGACGGACCACACTCCGTGGCGCTGCCTTGGGTGCAAACAACTCAGGAAGCACTCAGCGAATCACTGTCATGTCTGCCAGCAGCCATGGCAGGTGGTTTTGGATCGGACATATGTCCACCAGTCCGGCGGACAGAAATCTCAAGAGATGTATACCAGTGGATGGAATTACAATCAGGGCTGGGAGAGCCAACAGAATTGGGGAGGCCGAGATCGTTCTCAGAGCCGCTCCCACACACCAAAGAAGGGTCGGAAACCGAAAGGCGCGAAGACGCCACGGAGCACGGCCCCAGAAGGAAAGGGGACACCTATGATGCCATTCCCTCCAGCCCACAGCTTTGGGAAGGGTCAGCCTCTTCCGCCGCCCCCGATGCCCTGGCCGGGCTATACCGGGATGGCACAAATGGCACAGCCCATGATGATGCAGCCCCCCATGCAGCCGATGACTGCGCCCATGCCACCAGTGGCACAACATCAAGCTCCGCCACAATTGGCACAGATGATGGCGCCGGTAGCGCCGCCCTTCTCAGCGCCGGCCCCACCACAGGCATCGATGAGTTCGGAACAGATGGAATTCATCGAAATGGCCAGAGCTCGACAATCAGAACTCCCTGCAGATATGAGGCATCAAATGCAAAAGATGGCCAAAAAAGAGGGAGCCAGGGCCACCAAGGACTTGCACAGCGCTGTCAAACAACTTGGCATTGCACGAGCAGAAGTCGAGGAGGCCATTCAAGCCCGCATCAATCTGATCGCATCATGGAAAAATGTTCTTTCAGAAGCGGTCAAGACGTGGCAAGACTACACGGTCCTGTTTCAGACGCAAGAGCGAGGACTTCAGGCCAGGATTCAGGAAGCTCAGGAAAGCTTTGCGCAAGCAAAGAGCCAAGCTGCGGAGTCCCAGGTTGTTGCGGGCAAGCTGACCATCGAGATCAAGGACGAGGACGACGACCCCGCAGAGGGACAGGAGTCAGCGAACCTCTCCGCGGGCAAGATCAACGAAGGGTTGGCCACACTGTCAGCGTCCTTACAGCAGATGAAGGAACAGGCAGACGCCATTGTTGTGGAGGAGAATGCGGCGAAGAGGCAGCGTACTTCCCAACATGGGGAGCAAGCTATGGAAGTGGGCGAGCTGGCCGATTCCAATACCTCGTCCAAGCCGCCTTTTGCCTCGCCCGGCTGTCCATGACGTTCTCGTATGACAGTCTAGGGCTTTGCCGCCACTGGAGTGTGGATACTCCAGGTCCCATTATCAAATGGCACAATAGAGCATTGCTCAAAGAAGAATTTGTATCTGAATGGAAGGCCAGAGACCTTGCTTTGGGGCTTGCAAGTGAACTGTCCGGTCCAACAGCTGCGTTTTCTTCCTCTCGGACTACCCCATGGAGTTCCTGTCATGGTGGTCGTCCTTCAATACCTGAACTTGAATCTCCTTTTAGAAGGACAAGAACCAAAGCTCTGCATGTGGGTTTTGCTGAGCCTGTGGACGTATGGATAGGTTGCGAAGACTCCTTTCAAATGTACCACACACTTGGTTCTCTGGAATCCTTTTCTACAAGGACATCGCCATGGAGCCGCCCAAATTTGGACGATGCAGAGCCCAGCCACAGAACCTTTGACCTCATTGCGACTTCAGATTCATCAAGTGGCATTTTTGTGAGAGGTCTGAATCCACGACCTGTGTGGGCTCAGGACATTTTTGAACTTCTACAACAAGAAGGACGGCCTGACGCAGACGATGATGAACCGGTCGTGTATGTCACATCGTACTTCATCGACCATGCTGTTCACCCTCACCATTCTCAACCTCGGCTCCTACGCTTCGACATGGACGTGTTGGAATGGGAGCGAGATGTGTGTCTGATCTGGGAAGACTACATCGATGTAACTATTCCTTTTGATGTCACCATTGTTCGGCCTGCGTCCCCACATCAGATCTATCCAGATGCTGCTGCGACTGCCATCGTTCACCAACGTGCCAACTTTGACAGGGCAGCGGCTCTTGTCACTA